CAAACTCTCCTTTACATCCAGTCAGGCGATTCAATATGCTGAAGCTTCACATTACGACATTCGTAACTCCTTTTCTTTAACGAAACAAACATATTCTAGATCTTCTCTCTATATGAACTACTTTACCTGTAGGTTTTCTAGGCTCTGGAATAATTTACCTCAAACTATCCGTATGTTAAACTCTCTCCCATTGTTTGTTCTCTCAATTAATGCCTCTTGCTCCTCTGAAAATGCATTAAATGCTCTAGCGCCTGCAAGTGTATCTTACTCCACATGTGAAATTATCGGAACTTTAAATGTTTAACCTGTTACTTGCTATCATTGATTTGTTGTTCCGTGCTCTTTGCTTTAATCTTACTTTCTCTAGTTGTAGATAATTATCAATAACTCGCTCTGGCACTGGAAATAACCTTACAGAACAACGTTGATTAATCATCAGGCTATCCACTTAAGAAAAAAATGACGGGTTCCCTGGTGTTGCATTGGCTTGCCGTGATATATGCCATATATAAACTATTTATCAATTACTAAACCAGCAAACATAAACCTTCTTATATTTCATGTTTGTTCTCTACATTAAATGTTGATTTTTATAACAATGTGATCATGCCTGTAAATTGGTGTGAATTCTGTAAATATAATAATAATAATAATAATTTATTCTCCAATAACATTGTTAAATGAGGCATGCCGGTTTACAGGCAAGATCAAATTGTTAAAGAAGTTACAATTTTCACTGTTGAAAATTACTCAGCTGGGTTGATGTTTCATAAGATATGAATGTAAATGGATTTCATTATGAACATGTCAATATCAATATCACACTTGACGCACTTTATGGAGGTAGCGTTGCAACATACAACTGATGGTCGAGAATAGATACATGCGAGGTTGGGGGCTTTTAGAAGTTTCGTACTTATATCCCTCCAGAATATCGGAAGCATTAATAACGGTGTAGGACGAAGTCACCCTTGCCATTTCTGTTTTCGGTGGAGTATCTGCAGGAGGCTGAAAAAGGTGTAAGAAAAGGAAGGACGAAAAGCAGAGCACACAATTTTCATGGAGGAATAGTTAAGGTATAACCATTTAGCCTATTATCTTCAGAATATATTATTATTAGTAGTAGTAATAGCTGTTGGCTATCAACTTATAGGTAGTACAAGTACCTTGTGTTCAGAAATGTTGAAAACAATCAGTTTTGCAGAAATGTTCATGTTATTATTCTTTCTGGTCTGAATAATGGAGAAGCATAAACTTCAACGTGTCAGCAGTTTCTGAGCCACAAGAAGCATCATCATAAGAAACGGATCTTCATGGGAACCGTGGAAAAGATTCAAGAAAAGAACAACAAGAAAACAGCGATAAACAACAGTCAAACACGAGCGGAACAAGTCAAGGCACAATCAGACTACGCAGAAGCAAACAAACAAGTGAAGAAGAGCATTGAAGCTGACAAGCAGAAATACACCGGACAACTAGCAACGACGGCAGAAAAAATTGCAAGAGAAGGGAACATGAAACAACTACATGTTACAACGAAGAAACTAGCAGTCAGATATGGTATACTGAAGAGACCCGTCACCGACAAACAGGGAAAGACAATCACGGAGATTCAAGAACAGATGACATCATGGGTAGAATACTTCGACGAACTGCTGAACACACCAGCTCCGTTGAATCCATCGAACATCAAAGCAGAACACACAAACATTCCTTCACATGTCACTCCACCAACAATAGGAGAAATGAAGATGGCCATCAGTCAAATCAAGAAAGCAAAACGACCCGAAAATATACCAGCTGAAGCATTAAATTCAGTCAATAAAGTAACTGCAAACATGCCTCACCTAGATCTAAGAGGAAAAACAAGTGCCGATGGACTGGAAAGAAGAACACCTCACCGAAATATTAATGGAAGGAAATCTGAGCGAATTGAGGAATTACAGAGGCATCACGCTGTTGTCAGTACCAAGAAAACTTTCCAATAGAGTGTTGCTGAACCGGATGAAAGACGTAGTACACACCCAAATTCGAAATTAACAGGCTGGATTCTGTTAGGATCGGTCGTCACTATGCACCAACTTCATTCACTATGAGAAGACATTTGACGGTGTGGAGAGGAGAACATTATGGAAACTTGGAGTTCCTCAGAAGATTGTAAACATTATCCAGAACTCAAACGACGGACTACATTGCAAAGTGGTACGTGGAGGACAGCTAACAGATGCGTTCCAAGTGAGGACCAGAGTCAGACAAGACAGCATACTCTACCCCTTCCTCCTTCTTCTGTTGGTCGACTAGATTATGAAGATCTCCACATCTGACAACAAGCACGGAATACAATTGACATCTCAAAATCATTTAGACGATTTGGACTTCATAGATGACCTGGCCCTCCTATCCCGTATACACAAACAAATACAGATGAAGACAACTAATGTAGCAGCAGCCTCTGCATTAGTATGCCTCAACATCCACAAAGGAAAGAAAAAGATTCTCAAATACAACACGAAGAACGCCAACCTAATCAGACTAGATGACGAGACTCTGGAAGATGTGGAATCATTCACGTACCTGGGAAGCATCATTGGTGAACAGGGAGGATCGGATGCAGACGTGAAGGCGAGGATTGGCAAAGCAAGGGACACATTCCTACAATTGAAGAACATATGGAACTCAAAACAACTGTCAACTAATTTCAAAGTCACAATCTTCAATACGAACGTCAAGACAGTTAGTTCTACTGTACGGAGCTGAGACGTCGAGAACTACTACGAACATCATCAAAAATGTACAAGTATTTATAGATAGTTGTCTCCGCGAATTACTCAATATCCGTTGATCCGATACCATTAGCAACAGCCTCTTATGAGAGAGGACAAACCAGCTCCCAGCTGAAGAGGAAATTAGGAAAAGATGTTGGAAGTGGATGGGATATACATTGAGAAAATCGCCAAACTGTATCACGAGACAAGCGCTATCTTGGACTCCTGAAGGGAAGCGGAAGGGAGGAAGTCCAAAGAACACATTGCGCCGGAAAATAGACTCGGATATAAAAAGGATGAAGAACAACTGGAAAGAACTGGAAAGAAATACACAGGACAGGGATTGAGGGAGAATGCTGGTATTCGGCCTATGCTCCTCCACAACAGGTAACTAGCGTAAGTAAATTACGAAGTCAAATAACGTGTATACCGGTATACTGTTCATATGAGTTGACTTTTAATTGCATCTGCAATAATATGGTAACTGAAATTACAAAATTGTAATCGTAGAGTAGAGTTCCAATTAGTGTTCCAGTTAGTTTATTAAGTTTGATACGGTTTATTTAGTTACGGGGAGATTTTCTCTACCTCATTATTACTTAACCGTGATATAATTTAGCAATGCTACAAATAAATATGAATGGTTATCACAATTTCTTCCGATACGCGTAAAGTGATAATTATTTGAATTTCGGACAAATATGTGTCATGCTCTAGACTCAAGCTTATCTATATTTACATCTACTGGCAGATGTTGCATACACGTTTGTTGCAGGCATTAAGTTTCTCTCAAGTTAGTAAACAACTGAACTGAAATATAATGATCATAAGTTGTTGAAATCAACTAAGCTTATGTGCCATAAACATAGGTGATATGGTTTTGCAAGATGTCGGATGAATAAGTCTCTACAAGATGACTAACAGTGAGTGAAGCTTAAGTGACTATCAGGGAAGATCAAGAGTGGTGCACTCCCAACTCATGTCTATGACAATGTCTTGAATTTTATTCAGAGTTGGGGCAAATTCAACAGTTCTCGGTTTGCAGGATATTTGCTCGACTTCTTATACTGATGAATTGCATGCATGATTGTGTCGCTAAACCACCAATTAGCCTGTCAATGTTTTAAGGTATTTGATGAGAGAGAAACCGATAAAGAAACATACCGTATTCATCTGTAATGAATGAAGATAACGAGAAAACAACACGATTTAATGATAATTACGAGTCAATTTGTTAACCGATTTTTTAAATAGTTTCATCGATCTTATCAATCATATTACATGATTTTGAAGTCATTATAATGCTTTGTGACGATATTCTGAAACCATTACGTTTAACTAGTTATTGTGCTGATTGAGGATTAGCCAGTGGGAAATAGATATTGTTGTTTTAGGTACTTCTGAAACAGCAGAAGCTTTTAGCGTTAACGAATTCCAGCTGCCTGATTATATTATAAATTGCAATCCGGAGATATTCATCTTAACAGTGTTACTGTTAACAGAAGACTCCAGAATTCCATTTAAAATGTTTGTTCATCTAATAAATATATGAACTTTCCATATACTCTTCGACAGTTTTATTCTTCTCCATTTACAGTACGGAAACATCATATTTTCTCCCTCACTCCATAAGGATTAGGACACTCTGGATTGTATGCAACGGCGAGCTACGAAATCAGTTCAGGGACTCAAATTCAAAGCGCTTCCAATCACCTAACCCTTACTCATCAGAGTATAGACGTCCAAGAGGTAGCTTTCTTATGACTTACAGTATCCTTAACACTTCTGGACATCCCCTTAAACATCTACTTAAGTTTACCTCCAACACAAAACTAAAGGGTAACACTCGGAAACAGGAAACGCAGCTCAGCAGAACGGACTGTGCACACAACTTCTACTCCTTAATAGTTATCAGATGCTGGAATTTGCTGCTGGTCGAGTTAGTCCAAGCGACTTCTCAGGAGTCCTTTAAGAGGAAACTTGACACATTCTTAAGGACTAAGGATAGCATCTCACCAATTTCTTTTCCCTCTTTTATCGTTAATATACCTAGGTTTCTACCTGGAGGTATTCATGATCCACTGCTACAAGACACGAAAGTCCCTTAGGCGAAAGCTTCCTCTATTCCGTCCACCACCATTTGAATCATTATAACAGAAGACGGACACAGTATATCGGCCCCATACTGTCAGTATTAATATCTGGATCTCTAGATGCAGCCAGTTAGGTATGTTTCCACAACAAAATTTTAAATGTGTTTGAACTAACCAAACGTTGGTATTACATTAAAAATAAAGGTGGTTGTTTTGGGAGCTTAAGGTCACGTGGTTGTCTGTAGAACTCAAATCCCATTTGCTTTTAAGGGATGAAAGTAAGCGTTTTCAGTTTCTAATTGCTGTCAGGTATTTGTTCGGGAGTGTAAAACTGATAAATTGCTTCTTACGTGGGAGAATGTACGTTCGTTTTTAAAATCAATCTTGTAATATCCGCAAAGGTTTCATCTGGCACAACGATTCTTGATCTTAAAAATAGAATTTATTTGGAAAGTAATACATCTGTTGTTGTTAACTAAAATTTCAGGAAAAAAGCCTCAAGTAATTCGACAGAGTATTCGTCTTGATCCTCGTAAGTTTTGGGACTATCCCACAATCAGTTGTAAACAGTACCTCAGTAAAAAATAGTTTTTACCAATAAGTGTAAGCAAACACGCCCTGATTTTCAGATGTTTTTGGAACACAGGTTATGTATCAGAAAATTTGAGTGGATTTCCAGTGACACTTATTCCATTTTATCATTAGTTTTTCAATGTGTAATTTGTCTTCCAAGCATCTTTTATGCATATCATGGTCATTTAGTTGGCAATATTCGTAGTCATCTAAGACTCGACAGACCATACCACTGGTCATCTCATTTGTCTCATTTTAGATAGTAAATCAACTGATCTCGTGTGTTTTTTATTGTTTTTGGTAATAAACTAGTCATAACGCAACATCCATAACATAAAATACCTGCCATCTTAGTTCTGTTTAACATCGTTCTCAACGCAGCTAATAAAAGAATTTCACCGACCATTACCCAACCGAACCTGCTAATATGACAATCTAGAACTGGTTTTGTAATTAGTGTAATGCAAATTTATTTTATTTAAACACACATATATTGGTACAAAAGGGCACCAGGTACATATGCGCCACACTATTTGTGTGTGTGGGCTGTGATACTGCCCGGGTGCCCAAACCGAAGCAGGTGGTTTTCTTAGGGGGCAACACCCCGAGCCTTTGACCAAAAGGTCTGATCCACAAGGCAGCGGAGCATCGTGAGGAGATGCAGTCCCATGGTAGTCGTTGACCAATGACAGGTTCTTCCGCCATTCGTTCCATCAGGATACTGGAGCCCATGTGCACCATTGGTTTGGAATCAGGGTTTTCCAACTTCCCTAGGTGGACCCTCCGTGTCCACCAATCCGGTTAAAGCGCCGGACATTCGCTTTTCGTCCTCTCACTTTCGTAAACAACACCGGTGCCACGAGAAGGCAGTGAGTAGGACTTCCCTGACAGAGGCTATATATTCGCTGGCCATGTGAGAGCATTTTGAGAGGGAGAGTGGGCTCTCCCCACTCTCGGCCGTACCAGGGCATTTGGGGGCGTGTAATGCAAATGGACTACCAAAATAAATTAGTCACGACACTGTATCATCTTTGCGATTGCAGATATGAATTTATTCAGCTCTTCTCTTGGTGGAAATAGTTCAAGGTTTTAAAACAACATACATGTACATCTACGTATCTGAAAGATTTCCGTTTTTATTACATACCGTAAATGTTCATTCAAATTTTCTTTCAAATACATTCCTTGATATTGCTTAGTAATTCATATGAGATTTTTCAAATATGTTTGTTAACTCTCAACCACCTACAACACTTTTGTGTCCAATTTCTTAAAGGTGGAAAGTCAATAGATGATAACAAACGCATATCTGAATTTGAAAGCACGGACAAATCTGGGTGTATTAATTTCTATTTAAAGGATATAGGACCACAAATTGGTTGGCGTACGGTGTTTTTAGTTGAATACACAGGACCACTAGTAATATATGCAATAGTTTGGCTTCTTCGACAACCTTTTTTAAAAAATAACATGCTTCCTCCTATTACATCTGACTTCTACTTGAGAAAAGTTGCCTTAGCCTGTTGGTCTGGCCACTACATTAAACGTCTACTGGAAACCGTGTTTGTTCATCGATTTTCTCATGCCACTATGCCATTGCGTAATCTGTTCATCAATTGTTCATATTATTATGGATTCGCTTTGTTCATCGGATATTTTACAAATCATCATTTATACACACCACCTAGTAAGTTTGATTAACAATTTGTATGCTAATTAGTTAGACGAACTGCTGGATGTTTTAAGTCGGTCTTTTAACATTCAGTGTCAAAACCACATATTTGTCGAAAAGTAGTGTCTATCTTCGAAATGGAGTAAAATGTAAATATCAGGTTTCTAACCTTTTCGTACTAAATACGTGTAGCTTAAGTTTCACCTCTGAAGTAAAACAGAGCATATGTACTTTCCTAAACCCTGAAAATTAGCCAAGTACTGGCGCAGTTACCATAAATATATGGTCACTGGCTATGAAGATATCATAAATACTCGAAATTCGGCAGATTTATTGCCCGAAACCTCCTTACTCAATAATTCCAAAGCCAATAAAACCGTTGAGAATAAGGGGATGCAAACGTACATGTGATTTACTTAAAATTACAGGTACAAGTAGTTGTTAATTGAAAGATGCTGATAAGTACCTCGTATTGCTGTCGCAAATCAGATAATGTGATTGTACTCATATTAGTAAGCAGATTACTAATGTCAGTCGTTGCAAAGTATATCTAGATGAATTTCAAAATATTTGTCTGCGAAAAATTATTTGAGTTATACATGTTACATGCCAGAGAAAACCCTTTCCAGTTACTATTCGTTCTTTTGATGTCTCCTTCCAGTTCCCGACGCAATATGTTCCCTTGCCTTCTTTCTTCCATTTTTCTTCAGGATTCCAAGTTAGCACTTACTTCCTGATGTAGTTTGATGATTTTTGCAATGTATATCCCATTCACCTGGAGCGTGCTTCCCTAATTCCCTCTTCAGATGAAAGCTGGTTTGTTCTCTCCCACACTAGTTTGTTGCTGATGGTATCCGACCAATGGGCCGTATCTTGCTTAGACAATTGTTTCTGTATTGTGGATGAAACCACAGTTTGTGATGCCATTTACTACTTTCAGTCGTTTTTCCAATCATGTTGAAAGTCTAGTCTTTGGAGCCTATATTTCTACATATTTCAAAACAGACCATAGTTTCATTAATTCTCATTGATTAGATATGTAACTCCTAGCTTGACACGCAAACTTATAAACAGTTTCAAAATCAGGTTATTAGTTTCCTGCAAATATCTAGAAATTCCCATCTGGATTATCTCTGTTGCAAACATTCCTGGACTATCTTGGCTACTGATTTCACCAAAGCTTATCACACAAATAGCTCTCCTATAAATAAATAAAACAATTTTTTGTTCTTGATTATTTTTTTGCTTTACAGCCTTCGGTCACACACAAATAGTTATAGGCTTCTTCCTTTTCATGGTAAGTCTCGCTTTTGTTTTTTTTTTTGTCGAGAAACTCTTATTAACCCGCCTTCCCATTGATTTAGATCGGGTATTTCTTCTAAAAAAGCATAATAAACAATCAATCAGGTAGTTATTTTATTTATTTATTTAAACACATATATATTGGTACTAAAGGGCACCAGGTACATATGCGCCACACAAAATAATGGAAGAAGGGAGAGAAAGGATGAAAAGATAACGCGGTCTAAAATGTACAACCAAAAGACTCTTTCAGTTGAGAAAGTTAGAACCATTCTTTATGTAGAGAGTAAAAGAAGGTTGCAGCAGGATCGCCACTGGTTTCTATTCTGAGCCATATCTGATAACGTCTCTAGCCACTGTGTTGCACCATCTCTCGGACCCCAACCAAGGAGTCGTGAAGGACCAACAGAAGCTAGCCCTTTGCAGCTCTCTTTCATGCCACGACACCATGTCATACACTGACCTCCTCTCCGCTTTTTCCAACCAGTCCCAGGGTCGGCAAATAATGCACGACGTGGAAGTCTCTGGGACGACATTCGTAAAACATGTCCAAGCCACCGAAGTCGGTGTTTCAAGATGGTGACACCAATTGAATTATCGTCTCTGCGCCCGAACACACGATGCCGAACCTCTGCATTACTAACATGGTGTTGCCACTGGATGTCAGCAATCCTTCGGAGACAACGATGATCGAACACAGAGAGTCGTCTAACATCATCAACTCGGAGAGGCCAGGTTTCACAACCATAGAGCAAAACTGCTCTCACCGACGCGTTGTAGATCCGACCTTTTACAGCCAGACTAACATCACGAAGGCGCCAAAGATGGTACAGATTGGCACAAGCCGCTCTGGCTTTCATTATACGTGCATCAATCTCATCACTCACGCCACCACCAGCACTTATGTAGCTACCTATATACACGAACTTCTCAACTACTTCAATCTGCTCACCATCCAGGGTGAGTACAGGATGAGAATCCTGCCAGTCTTGTAGGAGTACTTTGCACTTAGAGGGTGCAAAGCACATGCCGTACCTGCGGACACTGATTGCCAACTGATTAAGTGCTGATTGCATGCCTTGGGCATTATCACACAGTAAGACAATATCATCCGCATACTCAAGGTCGAGAAGTCGTTTTCCAGGCAACATATCCACACCGCCATTACTTACATCCATCAGAGCTGTTTCCAGGATGTCGTCGATGACAAAATTGAAGAGGAATGGTGAGATCGGGCAACCCTGCCTAACCCCACTGCTCGAATGGAACAAGGAAGAAAGGTGGTTGTATACCCTCACTCTGCCTGAGGTGTTCGTATACAGGGCCTTTAAGATGTTAATGAACTTCTCAGGCACACCCTTCTTCAATAGACAATCCCAGAGAACAGTCCTGTCCAACGAATCGAAGGCAGCCCTGATATCAACAAACACTACGATTGTTGGCCTACGATAAGTATGACGCTGTTCTAACATTTGGCGGAGGGTGAAGATGTGATCAATGCATCCTCGACCAGAACGAAAACCAGCCTGCTCCTCGCGAGTCAATCGTTCTCGGGTTTTAAACAACCTACGAAGAATGATAGAAGCCAATAGTTTGGACGCAATCGGAAGTAGACTTATCCCCCGATAGTTATTGCAGGAACAACGTGAACCCTTTTTAAAGATAGGGACGACTATTGACTCATTCCATGATGTTGGAACACTTTCTTGCTCCCAAACCTTTCCAAACAACACAGTCAATTCCTTAGTCAGAAAGTCACCACCATCTTTAAAAAGAGCCGGAGGTAAGTCATCTGGGCCCGGTGATTTGTAACGTTTCAGGAGTTGGAGTTCGTTGTGGACCTCGTTTGGTGGATCAGTCGTCACCGGCCATGGGGGGCAGGACAAGCTGGTTGATGTTGCCGGAGCAGCAGGCCAGTTGAACTGCCCTTCGAAGAATTCCGCCCATCGTCCAAGACGTCGAGAGATGTTAGTGATTGGCAGCCCATCATCCTCGTAGATTGTTTCACTCACACCAGACTTCTTGCTGCCAGTGGCTTGGATGAGTTGGAGGAGCTTCCGGCAGTTACCAGATGCAGCTGCTGCTTCCATCTCATTAGCACGCTCCGACCACCAGGCTTCTTGGTCCTTACGCAAGCTTTGCCCGATTTCATTACGTAACAGCCTAGAGGCTAGCTCAGCTCGATACTTACTTGCAACAGAAGTTGCAGCCAGTTTACTAATATCAATCCGTTGGTAGTGGTCAATCCTTCGGCCACTGAAAAGTAAGGTGAGATTGGCGCAGACCAGTGCATGATCAGACTCCAGATAGGTACTCCAAAAGGAGCGGCAGTCTTGTACACAACCACGCCAGCGGTAGCTGATCGCGATGTGATCAATCTGAGTCCAGGCTTGGGATGCAGAGGGAGGACGCCAGGTGGCACACCGGCGATGACTGTGCCGGAAGTTAGTGCTGGCCAGAAACAGGTTGTGGTCTGTGCACAGTTGCAGCAAACGGTCACCGTTATCTGTCCTGCGACCAACAAGTCCCCATCGGCCACCTAGACGACTCTGTTCTGTGCCTAGACGCCCGACCTGTGCATTCAAGTCTCCGGCTAGTACTACAATATCTGCCGAACGCGCTTTCTGGAGAAGAACTGTTAACTGATGGTGAAACTCATCCTTGATTGCATCCGGGCTGCAATCTGTCGGGGCATAGGCGGAGATGACGAAAAGACACCGTTTCTCACTTTGATGGAACTTTCTAATCTAACAGCACATAACCGACTGTTAATGGGGATCCAATCGATTAGTGCTGCCTCAGCCCTAGCACTTAGTGCGACACCAACGCCAGCAAGACCAGACGAAGATGCCACAGGGTCCCTGGATAAGCGCACGTGGAACAAGCTTTTCGAGGCGACAGATGGAGAGCGGATTTGTAGTACTTCATTAGAGTCTTGAATACGGGTCTCGGATAGACAACAAACATCAACATTAAGACCTTCCAAAGACATAGCCAGCCCTATCTGTTGTCTGATATGCATTAGTGTGCGAACGTTGAAGGAGATCGTTTAGATAGGACAGATTTTCCACCATGGGCGAGCTGCTGCATAAGTTGAAAAGTAAGTGTACACAAATCGGGGATAAAAGGGGGTGAGTTAGCGATATGGTAAATAATAATAATAACAATAATAATAATGTAAATTGTCTTGCATCTAGTATGAGCAGGAATAGTATCGTCAATAGAATTCATCATTTCATTTATTTGTGTGTGGGCTGTGATACTGCACGGGTACCCAAACTGAAGCAGGTGGTTTTCTTAGGGGGCCACACCCCGAGCCTTTGACCAAAAGGTCTGATCCACAAGGCAGCGGAGCATCGTGAGGAGGTGCAGTCCCATGGTAGCCGTTGACCAATGACAGATTCGTCCGCCATTCATTCCATCAGGATACTGGAGCCCATGTGCACCATTGGTTTGGAATCAGGGTTTTCCAACTCCCCTAGGTGGACCCTCCGTGTCCACCAACCCGGTTAAAGCGCCGGACATTCGCTTTTCGTCCTCTCACTTTCGTAAACAACACCGGTGCCACGAGAAGGCAGTGAGTAGGACTTACCTGACAGAGGCTATATATTCGCTGGCCATGTGAGAGCATTTTGAGAGGGAGAGTGGGCTCTCCCCACTCTCGGCCGTACCAGGGCATTTGGGGTAGTAATAATTAACCTAGGGTAGCATAAACATGAGTAGGTTCAAGTTGCCGTATCACGTTAACATGTCGAGATAAAGTTGACACGATGAACAAAAATATGGTCGAAATAGAATACCAGTATCAGTTGTAGTGAGGAAGCCTTAACACTAAAAAATGCGGTTCTGAGAAAAGAATTAGTCCGAGAAACTTTAAGTTTCCTGTATTTTCATATTGGTATTACATGCTTCATATTATTATTCAACTAACTGCAAAAGATCTCACTTTGTATTATTGAAGTTCTTCACAATTATATCTCGAAGTTATCGTACATTCTTTAGAATCCTTCTGCCTTGATCCTGCTGCTAGATTAATATCACGGAGGAGCCAGTCAGTCAGCCACAACGTACGACCAGGCACATATATGCATCGGTCCAAGTTGCCATACCTCATTACCACAACAAGATGAACAGCGAATTCACAGAATCAGTTACTTCAATTGTAGTAATATATAAAAGGAAGATGTAAGGCAACTTTAATCTCACGGTTGAAGGGAAGTCAGAGAGTGTATATACCTACGTCATTGTGATCGATTCTGAGCCATGCCACCCAGAGTCTCCAACCAATGGTTACGATAGTCGCGTGGACCCCAATCAGGTTATCTGCATCTACCAACATCGCTCAAACCAGAAGTTAGTGACTTTGTGAACTGACGGCACATTTTGGTTTGACCGCCCCTAACTTCCTTATACTCGTCTCCAACACTAGTCCGCGTTGTGCGCCGTGGTAATCGGTGGTGTAGTACGTGGCTCAACCATCCCAGTCGATATAGACTCACAACCTCATCAACTGATTTACCATTTCTTAATAGCCTGCTAACCCCACTATTACTTACCCGGTGATCCCAGCAAATACGAGCAATACTTTTAAAACATCTGTGATCAAATACTAGTAACTCGCGAGTATCTTCTACTATTAATGGCCAAGTTTCGCAGCCATAAAGTAGAACAGCTGCTGTGCAGTATACTCGTCCCTTAAATGATAGACGGATATCTCGCCTTCGCCAGATTAATTTTTCATGTTGTAAACATTCGATTTGTGTAAGAACTAGGATACTGCCAGGTTGCTCAAACCCATACAGGTGACTTTCCTAGGAGGCCACTCCCCGAGTCTTTGGCCTAGAGGTTTAATTCACAAAGCAGTGTAGCAACGTTAGAAGCTGCGGTCCCATAGCAGTCGGTGACCAAGAATATGTTTATGCGTTGTTTGTTCCTTCAGGATTAACATATACCATGACTGGTTCTCTTAAAACACTCATCGATCAGTGAAGCCCCCATAATGCATCACCGTTGATTTCTAGAAATCATCAAACTACAACATTTACAGGTGTTATTTATTTTTTCTGGTATTAATGTAAACTATGGAAAATGTATCTCGACTTTTTAATATTGACTAAAATAGAAAAAAATACAAGCGGGGTTTGATAAGGTGCATTCGCATAAGTAACACAATTGATGATGATGTTAAGTTGTTAAACGAAACACTAATGGAAAATCGCTATCTCATTAAATTCATAAATCAGTGGAAAGTTCATGATATAGTGAGACGGGGAAAAAGCCCTATCTACATCCTCTTATCATTTAGAGGTGATTCAAATAGCCTTTTATTGAAACAAAAGCTTAAATCAGTCATTAACGAGACGTATTCCTCAGCAAAAGCCATTATCAACGAAAGAACAAAGTCCATGCTTCATCCAAAACCTAAAAGGCACGAAAACGATTGCGTCACATTTCACTAAGTTTACCAATCTTAATATCTGTGTAGCCACACAAACATGCGGAGGAGTAATCGTAATCTCCAGATTAGCGTGTGTTAACCTGTACTGAGCAAAATTGAACTCAGCGATTTTTTAAAATTCTTTTCACACACCCCTCCATTTCAAAAACTTTTCATCCCATTTTCCAATTTTTTTCAATCTGTTTCGTCCAATTAAATTCCTAGTTGTAAATGCGTTATAATTGGTTATGTCTTTCTTAAAAGTTGTATACAAGGTCTGTACTTATCGATAGAGATAATTTTCTTCACAACATGGACGATAGTAACGTGCAAAGTACAGGCTCTGTTGTTCCTCACGTCACAGAAACGGATAATGTATTTTTGAATACATTGTATCTGGTAGCGTTCCCATCACTTGAAACGTTGAAGAGCGCCATTCGAACTTATGAAAGAGCAACGTACTGCCATTATGCGGTGAGAGATTCTCATTTCCATGGAGATCGGAAGCCGTATATTAAATTTGTATGTTGAAGAAAGAGCTATAAAACACCTAGCGGTTCCTCACAACCAAGTAGACGAAGGAGGTAAAGTGATTATCGTAAATATATTTTTCATGAAGGACTTCCATCCACACTCAATGTCCGGCCTTCATCTTTTGTAAGTATCTTGAAGGTTATTGGACTGTTGTTCGTGGGAATGTGCATCACAATCACGAGTGCAATTCCCTGAGGTACGACTGTAATACTTGGATGCACCGATTAAAGGAGGCGGAATCGGAAACAGTAAAGTCATTGTTGATATCTGGAACATCAGCATCCAATGTTATACACTACGCGTACCAATCCTATGGGAAACGTCTTAATGCTCAAGATGTTTTCAATATGCGTCACAAAGCGTTCTCACAGGTCAACCTTCCTGGTAAGAAATGTGCATATTTATACTATTAACTGTAGGTGATTACGCTAAATTGGAAAATCACATAATGTCAATTGGTGGTCGTTGTGATTATCAATTAGATGCAGGTCATTGTCTGTCGTACTTCTTCGCTACAGCAGACCGAATTAATCTGTGCAATAGGTTTTTAGATGTTGTTGGTTTTGGTGGGACATACAAAACCAATAATGAAAACATGTTTTTGTATCACGTAGTGGCTCTGGATATGAATTTCATGGCAATACCCGTTTGTATTGCATTTATAAGTCGCGAAACATCGACTATGCTGTCCAATTTTCTCTCGTTCTTCCGCCAATTGAGTAACAATAGAGAGGTTACCGGTATTGTTACCGATGATTCACCTGCTATAGCTGCTGCCATAACACAGGTGTATCCGAATTCACACCACCTTTTGTGCCACGTGCACCTGCTTCGAAATGTCATCAAGAGGGTAAGCTTCCCTTTCTTTAGAATTAACCCATTCATCGTATTCGTAGAGGCTACGATCTGATCTTCTTCAAATATTTTTCCGTCTTATGATAACTCGAAATGTGGAAAGGTAAATCGAAATATGCTTTACAGTGTTTTGTAGCTTCCAACTGTATGTGTCATTCATCGAAGCAGCAGACGGAAATTTCTATCAATATTTGAGAGATCACTTATTGTCCAAAAAGCAGAAGTGGTCGAACGCTTTTAGACCATCTGCAATGCTACTAGATCAAAGCAATACAAATTTCGTTGAGACGACCCATCGAATTTTAAAGTTGCATAAGCTGAACAGAAAAACACCCGTGTTCAGATTGACATTTAGTGTTCTGCTTCGCACTGGATATTGGATAGAAGCTAGAGTTCAAAAGTACTCATCTTAATGCCGTAGCAGAGCTGTGCTGGGTCGCGAGCCACAACTACGTCGTCTTCAGGAAACACTTACAGCTGCTGCATGTCAACTGCTGAAGCGGCACTTGCGTGTTCCTGTTACTGACTTCGTATTGTCGGGGGAGTTCTTCACGGCCGTTGATACTACAGGAACTTACACAGTCTGTAGAAATTCTATGAGTTGTTCGTGTACCTTTTATATAGAACACGGAGTCGTATGTCGTCACATCTTGGCATACTGTTCGCACACTAACGTCGAAGTTCACATAGAAAGCATTGGTGACAGATGGCTGCATTCCAACAGCTACGTATACAGCGTAACGATTGACAATGAGTTACAGGTACAAGTCGGGCAGACAAACGTCCTAACATCGATTCACGGCTTATGTCCGCGGGACAGTGTACCGCTGTCCATAACTATGCACATTAGGTGCTTTACGATGGATTACCTTCTACTACCTTGACAATGCCCATCGTCCGAAATACCTCAGGCACCAACCATCAAGAGAACGTAGATTTGGATGCTACCTTAAATGATAACGAGATTGAAGTAATATCTATGAACTCAGAAGAGTTTACGGACCGAGACAATGAAGAAGACGAACGTGCGCACAATGACCGACAGTGTGATATTTGCCATCTACGTCAGCCGCCCAGTGAAATAGCTGATGGAAGTGCTTGGATTTTTTGTCCATGCAATGCTATGTTTCATTCGTTCTGTACCTACGACCCATCAGAAGTATTACCTGGGTTCAACTGTCCCATGTGCGGCACTGTCACGGACTCATAGTGGAGTCATTGATCAGGACCTAAGGAATTTTGACGAGACCGAGTAAAGGCCCTTTTCAGGGCCACCCACAATTCAATTAATTGTTTTTCAATTTCTTGTTTCCATGGCGAAGGTGGAGTCATGACACTATCAAAAATTCATTTTACATTCCTATGATTTGTTTAATAGGTACGGTAGAACAATGTACTGAGATCAGTTCATTAGCACAACAAGACCATTTCTAAGGGAAAGGTCAAATGAACAGACTCTGTTCCACTGTACCTATTAAACAAATCATAGGAATGTAAAATGAATTTTTGATAGTGTCATGACTCCACCTTCGCCATGGAAACAAGAAATTGAAAAACAATTAATTGAATTGTGGGTGGCCCTGAAAAGGGCCTTTACTCGGTCTCGTCAAAATTCCTTAGGTCCTGATCAATGACTCCACTATGAGTCCGTGACAGTGCCGCACATGGGACAGTTGAACCCAGGTAATACTTCTGATGGGTCGTAGGTACAGAACGAATGAAACATAGCATTGCATGGACAAAAAATCCAAGCACTTCCATCAGCTATTTCACTGGGCGGCTGACGTAGATGGCAAATATCACACTGTCGGTCATTGTGCGCACGTTCGTCTTCTTCATTGTCTCGGTCCGTAAACTCTTCTGAGTTCATAGATATTACTTCAATCTCGTTATCATTTAAGGTAGCATCCAAATCTACGTTCTCTTGATGGTTGGTGCCTGAGGTATTTCGGACGATGGGCATTGTCAAGGTAGTAGAAGGTAATCCATCGTAAAGCACCTAATGTGCATAGTTATGGACAGCGGTACACTGTCCCGCGGACATAAGCCGTGAATCGATGTTAGGACGTTTGTCTGCCCGACTTGTACCTGTAACTCATTGTCAATCGTTACGCTGTATACGTAGCTGTTGGAATGCAGCCATCTGTCACCAATGCTTTCTATGTGAACTTCGACGTTAGTGTGCGAACAGTATGCCAAGATGTGACGACATACGACTCCGTGTTCTATATAAAAGGTACACGAACAACTCATAGAATTTCTACAGACTGTGTAAGTTCCTGTAGTATCAACGGCCGTGAAGAACTCCCCCGACAATACGAAGTCAGTAACAGGAACACGCAAGTGCCGCTTCAGCAGTTGACATGCAGCAGCTGTAAGTGTTTCCTGAAGACGACGTAGTTGTGGCTCGCGACCCAGCACAGCTCTGCTACGGCATTAAGATGAGTACTTTTGAACTCTAGCTTCTATCCAATATCCAGTGCGAAGCAGAACACTAAATGTCAATCTGAACACGGGTGTTTTTCTGTTCAGCTTATGCAACTTTAAAATTCGATGGGTCGTCTCAACGAAATTTGTATTGCTTTGATCTAGTAGCATTGCAGATGGTCTAAAAGCGTTCGACCACTTCTGCTTTTTGGACAATAAGTGATCTCTCAAATATTGATAGAAATTTCCGTCTGCTGCTTCGATGAATGACACATACAGTTGGAAGCTACAAAACATTGTAAAGCATATTTCGATTTACCTTTCCACATTTCGAGTTATCATAAGACGGAAAAATATTTGAAGAAGATCAGATCGTAGCCTCTACGAATACGATGAATGGGTTAATTCTAAAGAAAGGGAAGCTTACCCTCTTGATGACATTTCGAAGCAGGTGCACGTGGCACAAAAGGTGGTGTGAATTCGGATACACCTGTGTTATGGCAGCAGCTATAGCAGGTGAATCATCGGTAACAATACCGGTAACCTCTCTATTGTTACTCAATTGGCGGAAGAACGAGAGAAAATTGGACAGCATAGTCGATGTTTCGCGACTTATAAATGCAATACAAACGGGTATTGCCATGAAATTCATATCCAGAGCCACTACGTGATACAAAAACATGTTTTCATTATTGGTTTTGTATGTCCCACCAAAACCAACAACATCTAAAAACCTATTGCACAGATTAATTCGGTCTGCTGTAGCGAAGAAGTACGACAGACAATGACCTGCATCTAATTGATAATCACAACGACCACCAATTGACATTATGTGATTTTCCAATTTAGCGTAATCACCTACAGTTAATAGTATAAATATGCACATTTCTTACCAGGAAGGTTGACCTGTGAGAACGCTTTGTGACGCATATTGAAAACATCTTGAGCATTAAGACGTTTCCCATAGGATTGGTACGCGTAGTGTATAACATTGGATGCTGATGTTCCAGATATCAACAATGACTTTACTGTTTCCGATTCCGCCTCCTTTAATCGGTGCATCCAAGTATTACAGTCGTACCTCAGGGAATTGCACTCGTGATTGTGATGCACATTCCCACGAACAACAGTCCAATAACCTTCAAGATACTTACAAAAGATGAAGGCCGGACATTGAGTGTGGATGGAAGTCCTTCATGAAAAATATATTTACGATAATCACTTTACCTCCTTCGTCTACTTGGTTGTGAGGAACCGCTAGGTGTTTTATAGCTCTTTCTTCAACATACAAATTTAATATACGGCTTCCGATCTCCATGGAAATGAGAATCTCTCACCGCATAATGGCAGTACGTTGCTCTTTCATAAGTTCGAATGGCGCTCTTCAACGTTTCAAGTGATGGGAACGCTACCAGATACAATGTATTCAAAAATACATTATCCGTTTCTGTGACGTGAGGAACAACAGAGCCTGTACTTTGCACGTTACTATCGTCCATGTTGTGAAGAAAATTATCTCTATCGATAAGTACAGACCTTGTATACAACTTTTAAGAAAGACATAACCAATTATAACGCATTTACAACTAGGAATTTAATTGGACGAAACAGATTGAAAAAAATTGGAAAATGGGATGAAAAGTTTTTGATTTAGAGGGACAAAAATAATTATTCAAAGAAAATCGACGTGACCCTAATGTTATTCATTGATACCCGAGTGTTTTGACCGGTAAGCTTAAATGTTTACATTGTCATACGAACTGAATAGTTAAACATAATAGCCTTAACTGTATAAATCAGTGTTCTTCAATCATTTGTCTGAAGATTCAACTTGTTGTACGCTAATCCGTTAAACAATCACGTTCAAATGGCTTTCAAAATGAACTTTACAGATTTGTAACCGAGACTGACTACGGTTTTAGGTATGTAAAAACCACTAAATTATGGGATTTTTCTCCCTAAAGGTCGGACTTCTAGTCACTAAGTCCCAGGTCCAATCTATGCTTCACCTATTTTGGTTTATGCAACCTAGTAGCGTCCGTACCCTTCACATTTAGAGTGTCTCTTATTCAGCTGCCTTGTAAATAAATTAATTAAAGACATTTCAAATGGAGATGTTGGTGTTGCATCAGTGGTTTATAGTGTTCAACTGTATACATTTATGCTTATGACGTTAATCACTTTTGTGTACATTTTTATCGTAGATTGGCGAATGGGGAAACTTTTCATGTCATTTAGCATTGAAACGACTTCGACCAGCTGGTTCAACAGTTCGACAGATACCTTATCCAATGAATGGTTGGTTTTTCACTCGTATGTTTAACTTAGTGGCATGTCCTAATTACACTTATGAGATTATATCATGGATTGGTTTTGCTATTATGACGCAAACTTTACCAAGTGAGTTGTTAATTTTTTTTTGACTTTAAATATACTATTATTCAGTCAGATTTATTTTACATTTCCATGTGTTTCGTGATGTGTTTTAAGTTACTTAAGCGTGTTACCCCTCGTGAAGGAGCATATGCCTCCCACCAGCATTCTCAATTGAACTCTGTCCTGTACAATCTTTTCCAGTTCTTCCTCGTTGCTATTGATTATTTTCCTGTCTGCTTCCATTCCCCAACGGTGTGTTCCTTGAGCTTTCTTTTTCCCCCTCTTCCTTCAGGATTCCAGGTAACAACTTGTCTCATGATGCCGTTTGTTGGTTTTCGTAATATATGTCCCACAGTAGGTTGTTGCTAATGGTATCCGGTCAACGGACAATAAGTATCCTCCGTAGACAATTCTTTACAAATACTTGTACCTTTTTGATGAAAGTTGTAGTACTTCTTCACGTTTCAGCTCTGTACAGTAGACCTGTCTTGACGTTCGTATTGAAGATTCTGATCTTGATATTAATTAAGAGTTGTTTCGAGTTCTATATTTCCATACTTTATAATGAGAACTATTATAATGTTGATTCGCCACTAAATTTATACCATCATCTATAATGAAACTTTCTTTTGACGTATGAAAGGAGGAACAAGAAAAGCTTGACCTCAAAAATGATAGACTTATTTCTTCTTTTTAAGGATTTTCTACCTAAGTTTCAACAGTATAAAACCAATACTTTAACGTTGAAAACATTTAATAGCAATCATGTTTTACCAATTTCAATTAGTTATCCTTTGAGATTTGAACTTAATTCCCCCAAGTTCATAAAATTATGTTGTTTTATGCTCATAGAAAAGAAATATTTAATCACTGTATAAAAAGCCCCCGAGAGTGAGGAGAATCAGTTCTCTATCTCTAAATAACTCTCACATGGCCAAATGCATACAACCATTACCAGGGAAGTACTACTTACTGCCTTCTCGTGGCACCGATGTTCTTTACGAAATTGAGAGGACGAAAAGTGAATGTCCGGAGCTCTAACCATGGATATGGAGGATCCGCCTAAAGGAGTTTGAAAACCTTGATTCCAAACCAATGGTGCACATGGGCGCCAGGATCCTGAGTGGACAAACGGCGTATAAAAATATTGTTGGTCACCGACTAGCATGTGACTGCATCTCCTAACGTTGCACCACTGCCTTATGGATTAGATCTTTAGGTCAAAGGCTCCGCGTGTGTGAATAATCTTAAAATATCTTAATCTTGTACTCCGAAAGGACTTTCTTTCATTGACAGAAATCTGTGGGATACAGTGGTATGTTCTAATTTCAGCATTGACTTTTTATAACTCTTTCCGTTATGGGAAGGTAGCATCCCTGTTGGATACTGATTGTCTCATGGACATAAGTTACTTTCATCTCACCTCTGTACAATTAGCAATACTAATTCGCACCTGGATTAAGTTTGTTGCTTTCAGTGTTACTGTCCTCCAGCTGGCCTACTTGGCATAGTGTCCTAAACGGTATAGTTCAAATGAATCTTCACGATATACAAACTCAACCACCATATTAAGATATCCGATGACGGTTGGATCAAGACTAATCATTAGTGAATGCATGATTATTGTGTATATATTTTTACATATTAAAACATCTTTTGAACAATCCTCAAATGGTTAACCTATATCATTCATTCTAGCTCTTATATTTACTATTTGTGGATTCCGTCAAATGAGTGTTTGGGCTATCAGTAAATTAAAAGCGTATCGTCGTGAATTCTCGAATTTTCCAAAAAATCGAAAAGCAATTGTACCATTTATCCTCTAATTTCTTTTTTGTTCATCTTTCTTACTTCATAATCATTCTATGCATCATTGATATCCCTATTGTTACTGGAATTGTAATATTCACTTTTTATCTCTGTTTGTGGATTATGAGCACAAATATGTGTATGTCATTCTAATGTATGTTTTTTTTCTTTTCTATAAAATGTAAAAAGTACATTTTGTTCTTAAAATAGTGTTATAACTTGATAAGACCGCCAATCACAGAGAGCAACGAATTATCGATTGGAACAGTGACACACGAAAACCGTATGAGCAATCTAGAGTACTTGTCGGTCCTGCTTTCTGCCTAGTCCAGCTAGTTAAATCCAGAACAGCCTCTGCGGCATGAATCATTGTATTTCAAACATATTGAGTTTATATATCAATCAGATTGACCACATCGTACCAATAAAATAGAAAATAACATGTGTACAAGATTCAGTCAAATGTGGCTGTGAATAGGGGGGAAAGTAAATAATAGACGGCATAATTCAGGAATGGTAAATCATATAACAATAGTTTATAATTCAAAATAAAGCTTATAATAAGAAAGACACGAATATGAATAGTTTAGTTACTTAGCGATTATACGATAAAAATTATATGCATAATATTGGTTCATAAATAGATCCTAAAGTGCCCCCAAATGCCCTGGTACGGCCGAGAGTGGGGAGAGTCTACTCTCCCTCTCGAAATGTTCTCATATGGCCACGCGAATATATATCCTCTGCCAGGGAAATCCTACTCACTGCCTTCTCGTGGCACCGGTGTTGTTCACAAAAGTGAGAGGACGAAAAGCGAATGTCCGGCGCTTTAACCGGGTTGGTGGACAAGGCGAGTCCACCTAGGGGAGTTGGAAAACCCTGATTCCAAACCAATGGTGCACATGGGCTCCAGTATCCTGATGGAACGAATGGCGGATGAATCCGTCATTGGTCAACGGCTACCATGGGACTGCATCTCCTCACGATGCTCCACTGCCTTGTGGATCAGACCTTTAGGTCAAAGGCTCGGGGTGTGGCCCCCTAAGAATACCACCTGCTTTGGTTTGGGCACCCGGGCAGTATCACAGCCCACACACAAATAAATAAGTGTGGCGCATATGTACCTAATAAATAATATAAATTGGACAATAAAGAGAAGCGGATTGAGAGGAAATATTTATTCGCTGTTTTGTTTTCTAAATTTCATAGTGTGATTAATTTCCTTATATAATTTATTGAAACAAGTCTTTGTGCATACACTCAAATTGGTGTAGGCAGTTGACGACAATACGTTGCTTGTAAGACACTGGATTATTGGACTGAAATAAGCTAGTTTAGCAACAGTGTGTTTTCCTCTAAGTGAAGGTCTTATCCTTAAAATCATTTGTTGTACAATACCGTCTGATCTTTACAGTCGAGTGTGAATTGCTGGGTTAGCAGTAGATCAACTTCTTAAAACCTTGTTTACAGAATAGTAACCAAAAACAACGGTAGTCAAGGTGGTGTATATTTTTCTGACGATAAATGTCTCAAGCTAACACCTTCCAAGAATGATGTACAATAGTTTGATTTTAGCCAGTTGATCAATGTTTACAAAATTATTGACGCAATGCCACAACTAATTGGAGATCCCTTGTAATTACTTTTCCGGAATCTATATGATGGACTGCCCTTTAGTTAGATAACTGTTGAAAACTAGGAAGAGCTAGATAGCAATATGAGTCCTCCCCGGTTCACAATGCGGTCACGGATAAGTATGTATTGCTGAGAATTCCAATATAAAACAGAGGAAATGTTTAATGTGTTATACCCCGAAGATAATTATGAATGGTAACTTTTGAGAACTATCTATGAACCAATATATGTATATTATTACAGCATTTTAATGTAGGTATTTCGTCCAGTTACGATCCCCGTTAATCATGGAATTTGGTTTGCTCAGACAGTAGGATTATTCTAAGCACGAGGGATTAGATTACAGGATACCAGATATCCTCAGGTAGTGGGCGCATTGCCTATCAAAGTGACGGCACATGTTGGAAACTTAACAGATCAGTTCACAGGATCTGCACCGTACGATAAAACAAAAGCGGCTGTAATACGGCGTACCTCAATTTTATAACCTCTTCATCTAACTTATACAACTGTACTGATTGTTTCATACATCGTTAGACTACTTGCGTCGTACACAGGAAGTCTGAATTGCGCTTACAGTCGTTAATGTAGAGTTAGTAGTTTTTTGGCAGTCTTAATGATCTCCATGTTATCAGAATCTGGACTTGTGCAAAGATGGGGATGATAAGAATATCAGTATAAATGATGATAAAACAATATTAGGACGTTGCTTTACCAAACAATTGTGGCGAACCAGGAAAAATTCGAACACTAAAATATTTGTCGATTGAAACACATAAATATAGGTACAAAAGGGCACCAAATACATATGTGCCACACAAGTCACTTGATTTGTGTGTGGGCCGTGATACTTCCCAAATGCCCAGACTGAAGCAGGTGGTTTTCTTAGGAGGCCACACCCAGAGCCTTCGATCTAAAGGTCTGATCCATAAGGCAGTGTAGCAAGGTTAGGAGATGCAGTCCCATGGTAGCGGATTACCATTAATTGGTTCGTACGTCATTTGTTCCTTCAGGATACCGAGGCACAAGCGTGCCATTGGTTTGAAATGAGGGTTTTCTAACTCCCTTAGGTGGGTCCGCCATATTCACTAACCTGATTAGAGCTCCGAACATTCACTTTTCGTCCTCTCAATTTCAGAAATAACATCAGTGCCACGAGAAGGCAGTGAGTAGTACTTCCCTGGTAGTGGTTGTATGCATTTGGTCATGTGAGAGTTATTTCGAGATAGAGAGGTGACTCTTTTCACTCTCGGCCGTACTAGGGCATTCAGGGGCTAAATACCAATAAAGTTATTGTAAAATATGTAGAATAACTTAATAATATGCAAAAACATAAATATATTGACACGAATTATCGGACGTTAATTTTATTATCAAATGTATCGTGCTCGATTTGGCTCGCAAAGCTCACAATTAATTCAAATTATAGTGTATAACCTAAAGTAAAATATATTGGAAACAATTCAGTAACGAAGGCAAATGTAGCAATTATATTAGTGATCTGTCAGTATGGAAGTTGATTGAATAAGCATTGCATATACAAAAGTGTAATAGTTAGTGCTTCATGCCAGAGGGAACAAAAGGTTAAAGGAAATGTCAAAATCAAACGTAAACAATAATTTTGCAGTCAATAGCATATAAAATGGATTATGTGAGTGGTGATAAGCATTATTGATAAATTAAATTTACTTTAGCCATCTCCATAGAGGTAAATTTCTTTATTTATTTAAACACATAAATATTGGTACAAGGAAGCACCAGATAAATATGCGCCTCACAAGTCTCAATCAATTTGTGTGAGGGCTGTGATACTACCCAGGTGCCCAGACTGAAGCACGTGGTTTTCTTAGGGGTCACACCCGGAGCCTTTGACCTAAAGGTCTAGTCCACAAGGCAGTGGAGCATCGTAAGGAGATGCAGTCCCATGGTAGCCGTTGACCAACAGTTGGTTCATTCGCCATTCGTTCCTTCAGGATACTGGAGCCCATGTGCACCATTGGTTTGGAATCAGGGTTTTCCAACTCCCCTAGGTGGACTCGCCTTGTCCACCAACCCGGTTAAAGCGCCGGACATTCGCTTTTCGTCCTCTCACTTTTGTGAACAACACCGGTGCCACGAGAAGGCAGTGAGTAGGATTTCCCTGGCAGAGGATATATATTCGCGTGGCCATATGAGAACATTTCGAGAGGGAGAGCAGACTCTCCCCACTCTCGGCCGTACCAGGGCATTTGGGAGCAAAGCAACAAATAACACACTTGCCATGGTATCTAAGTGTATGACGTGACTTAACAAATTGTCTAGTTGATCACTAGTTTTGTTAATTTAATTTAACACTTATATATGTCGGTTGATTCTGTGTGTGTATGTGACAGCTCGCAGCTTTTAAATCATGTAGCTACAGAAATACACTGGCGTGGTCGGCTGCATGATTGCTCAATTCTTCGGAATATTCATTTAACCTTCTTGACGTTGTCTCTGTTAAATAAATGAATTTTACAAATGGATTCAAATGATATTTCTCTTACACTGCATGTGAGACATGTAGTTGTCACAAAATTGAAAAGTACGTCATTTCGAAATGATAAAAACAGGTTATCATATGGTGAAATGAAATCTTTGGTGTAAACCACATTAATCGGTGCATGGAGGATCAAGCGCTTAGTAAACCTCAAAAATAGGCGTATTAACCGACAAACAATGAAGCACAAGGTATTAAGGTACATTCATGACACATCAAATACCTGTCAGACTATCTACGAATGTGTCTTGGAATACAACCAATCACTAATTCCTTTACCCTACATAACATCATCCGCGAAAAGTTTGTTTGCATGACGTTGAAGATGCCACGAGTATTTGTAGTTTGACAACACTTTAACCTGTAACACCTATAATTAAAACGTGCCCACCTAGTGAAATTAAAAGTCAGAAGCAAGGAGGTCAGAGGATATATTTGATAGGTTATCAATTGATATGCGGACGAGATTGATAGTGATTGGTTGTTTTGCCTTATCAGACCTGTAGATAGTCTGACATATGTTAGATGAGTTATATATTCTACTGTCATAATTATCTTGATTATTGATTGATTGTCCATTTGTTGTTGGATTTTGTCGGTTTGGTGGGTGGAAATATATTACGTTCTTATCAGGCTAACCACGTGTTCTTGATCTGAGTTGTGTTGAATTCCTGTAGAGTAGACACTGGGAGGGGATCTAGTGTAGATATTCGTCTAAGGTAAATTAACATCCCATTCGTGTAAAAAGGAAAAGGACCGTTATAACATCCATATATCGAGAAGTGACTGATCTAAACTGGCTAGCGGTTGCAGGAGAAGTTGAGCACGGCGTTCTCATATGTGATCTGGTGCACATACTTGACCGAGAGCCTTCAATTAGATGAGTCCATGTAAACAATTGTAGTCAGCATCAAATGTTGAAGACTTACAGAATTATTGATTTTGGGGATTTATTACCTCTAAAACGTCAACCTTCGGTCCATTTGAAAAAGATATGTTTGTTTCTGTTCCATCAATGGTCTTTGGTTAGCTTGTGGTTTTTTAATTCATTTCA